AATGTCAGATAGGGCAGGTGTGCTCTGTGGTGGCAGCGCCAACTGTGCTTCTCTTTCTCTGCCCCTCTGTGACCCACCCGTGAAGGAAGATCATGTGTGCAGTGATGCTTCCTTGGTGCCCGCCGCACTCTTGGGGACTTGGCCCAAGATTTAAGGTTTAACTGTTTTCTTAATCTGTTAATTCTTATAGTAATTTATTGAATTGTATCAGCCTCTACTCAGGTGTGTCAGAGCTTCATGGCCTGTGGAGTGCATACTGTTTTGCTCTGTTAGGAGATGCCAATGGCTGCAGCAAATTTATTTGGCATTCACCAGCTATTAATAAGGTGCTGGATCAATGACTGTTCTTGCTCTCTGTCATGCGTTTAAGCCATGATATGCTTATCCTATGTGAGTTTATTTCTCCAGTGTTTAGTCCATTTATTCATTTGAACCTTACAGTATCCTCTGATAGAGACTTCTCAATTTAGGTGTGCCTTGTTCTTTTGTTGTAAGAACAGTTGGTGGTCACACTCTCTTTCAACAGGCTTTATGGACCTCTCAAATACCTGTATCTTTATTCCTTTTATCTATCCAGCTGAAAAATCTTAAGTTTATGCTATCCCAACGCCATTGTTATTATTGATCAAGGAAAGTAAATTTAATACCTTTTTTGAATTGAAGTGACAAGGGGCGTAGTCTGGTGCTCAAAAAGGATGCAAACCCTAGGGTTTAAGTGTTATGATAATGTTTTCTGTTTTATCCCTTGTCTTTTGTAACAATTCTTCATTGTTTTTTTGACCTTTTGTTGCTGCTGAGTAATCATCTGCTTTTTCTCAATAAATGTCTGAATGAATCTTCCTCTTCCAGTTAGCAATATCTGATTTAGACTAGTTTTGTTTCTGTGAGCATTTCTTTGGAGTTATCAGTACCATGTTGTATCACATTTCATTGCTTGCTTTGGCATATTAATAAGTTGATGAATTAGAAAAATTGTATTTTAACTTATTTTTGTTTATTTGACATTTATTTCAAGAGCAGAGCTGGAGCCTGTTGTAGCACATTGATAATGACTCAAGGCATTGGTTTCCAAGAAAACTGTGCACACATGCAGGCAATCAGAAAACCTAATCAGAAACCTAAATTAAGTGTTGGGGTTGTTTTGGTTTTTTTACTTCAGTCTTTTGTTTCTGAAGTGCATTGTAGAACAACTTAGGAGCCTCACTTCTTCCTGATAAACTTGCTTTGAAGATTAGAAAATCTTCAGAGAACTACACAGAACTGTGGAGTTGTTCTTAAATTTTAATTGTACCGTGGTGTGGTGTATTTGTTTCTTGCTAGTCTTACATGTGGGATTTTGACAATCTCACCAAGATGGAGATGAGCAGGGCTCTCAATGAGGGGTCTGTGCTTGTATTTGTCTCTATGGCAAGACATTGTAAAGGCCTTTCAAAGGCAGTGCCCTCATCTTTATCAATGCAGCTTTTCCACATTTGCTGAGAGAACTCTTGAGCAGCTCTGGAGAGTTTAATTATTTTTCACAGTGATTATTTATGAATATTATCTTTGGACTGCCTAAACCCCTTGCAATTGTGCTTACTTATTAAAAAGCTATTCTTGTTTCTAAGTGGGTGAAAATCTATTTTTATGCTCATCAACATAGTGTTTTCTGTTTTGGACTTTTTGTTTTTTTTTTTACTTATAGGCACTTTTCCTTGTGCTCTGAAAAGCAATGTTTATATAACTAGCTTATGGCATCACTTAGAAACAAGCGTGTTATCAGCAACAAGATGTTTGGGCAGATCTGCCCTGGGCCTCTTGTGAGGGTAACACAACAAACCAGTTAAAAATTCCTCTGCTGTATCCAGAAAAGAGGTGGTGCAGAACTCTTCCCTGCTACTGGCTCCTTTGGGATGTTTATGGCAAGTCCCTTATTAATGCTGATTTGCATAGGGTTTAGTAAGGCAGTGTTGCCTTAGTGAGTCAGTAATTTAATATAAATTGAGTGAGAAGTCTTTGAATTCAGATTTCAAGTACTGTGTATTTTTGAGTCATTCCATGTGTCATAAGATTTTAATGTTCTTTTGTTTTCATGTTATTTGGCTATCCTTTGTTACCATAGCTTTAGGTGATAGCTTAGCAAATAAGTTTTTTGAGGTAGAACTGTGGATTGCTGACAACATGCTTAGGCACTTTTTAACTACTTTGGTTAAGTAAGTAAGGGACAGATTGGTGACATTTTCAGTTTCCTGTTCTCGTCCTTCTCATGGGTGAAAACAGTGTCTTAGTGTGCTATACTATTACCTGTTAACATAGTACAGACAAAGACCAAGATAATTGGTGACATTTCCAAAAACAATGACGTGACTTGGAAGTCAGGAACCAAGTGCTTGCATTTAGTGTTTGTTGGAGGCTACAAAGCATCACAGTTGTTTCTTTTCAAGGAAATAAGCTAACTTGGCTCTGGTAAGTCAGCTAATAAAGGTAGAATCATAGTATCTTTGTAAGACCTTCAGGAAGATTTTTGCCTCAGAATTTTTTTTTTTCTACAAAGTAGCTTAGTTGCAATAAACTAGAATACAAGCAGGTAACATAGTGCTGCAATAAATGGCACATCAAGTTAGCAGAACCAGTCAAGGGCCCTCTGCCAGTACAGATAACAGGCTCATCTCCTCTGTAGTTTTGCCTCATCTGACTGCTCATCAAAAGATTTGTTGAAACTCTGCAACATTTTGACTATCCTGTATCACTGCTGTTTCTCCTCTTGGATTAGCATTTAAGTCTGCCTTTCACTGGGGCTGTGGAAACCCTCCCTGAGATAAAATTTGCCTTTTGAGTAAGTGGCTATTACCAAAGTTGCTGAGCTATTGAGAAACTGTGCCTGGGAGCAGAGAAAATTGTCATCTTTGTTCCATTTAGATTAGGGAAAAAGAGAAAAAAGCGGGAAACATGATAAAAGTAAGTACAGTTCTGCTTGGTGCAGGTTTTTGAGATCTAATCTAAAGTGTTTTTGAAGAAGGGACTTTAGTAGCATTCTGAAAATACCTTGTATTTTCTGTGGATAAGAGTATCTGAATTTGTAAGTTCATCAAGAAAATGTCTTAATTTCACTGCATAAGCCAGTCATTGACTTCCTGTTCTGATATCATAGGTACTTGATGCTGTAATTTTTCTCTATTGTATTTCCTGTGGCAGGATTAGTCTGGTCTCTCCGTTTATCCTTTGAATGCACACGTGCAATACTGGTACTAATTTATGTTTTACAAATGCAGCAGTCTTAACACAGATCTAGAACCTGTGCCTTCCATGGCTTTGCTGCTGGGATGAAGCCTGTGGTCTAAGACATTGATGACTGTGATTGTTGCACAATAATTTGCAGAAGAAAGAGGTGCAAAATTGCTGGAGATGGGAGTCATGGACTTCAAATGTAGTTTTGAAGTCTGAATCTGTTGTCTTTCTTGTAAAAGCAGATTGAATGCCAGGATGCCTTGGAAGCAGCAGCTCGGGCAGAGGGCCTGCCACTGGACATCTCTGTGCATTCCCAGCTGAGAATGCTGGATGAAGAGCATCACAAGGGCAAATACCACCATGGTCTGAATGCACTGAAACCCATACGGACCACTTCCAAGTACGTCTTTAGGCTACCACAGAACTGATACAGCATTTGCTTTTCAAACCAGTGACAAAGCAGAATTGCAGATGTAGGTCTGCTGACTGGTACTGGAAACATCAGAATTTGTTTAGCAAGTGTGGCTGGCATGGACCATTTGGTACTCTGAGTGCTTTCAATGAGAGGAGGCTTTGTTTTTCTTGAAGATTTACATTTCCTGTTTCCTTTTTCATTTGTTTGTGATTTTTCTTTTTTCTTTTTTTTAAATTCTTTTAGACACCAGCACCCGGTTGACAATGCTGGGCTTTTTTCCTCCATGACCTTCTCCTGGCTCACTCCTTTGGCCCACAGAGCATACAAGAAAGGGGAATTGTTTATGGATGATGTATGGTCTTTGTCAAGGCACGAGTCTTCAGATGTCAACTGCAGAAGGTAAAGACATGTAGTTCACTATTATTTTCTTGTTTCTATTTATTACATGTCATTACATGCAGGCAATGGTATAGTGTTGCCCTAGAAGAGCAGCACTGACATTTTGTTTTGCCTTTCTCAGAATGGTGGAATTCACTTTCATTTTTCAGAGACAACTTTCTCATTCATCACAGTTTCTGTAGCCTTGCTGATTTTAGTGAAATTAGGGGGATTATATCTTTAGGAGTGTCCTATAATTATTCTGATTTTTGCATGACTTTTAATCTGGCTTTTTATGAAAACAAACTTTTTTCTCAAGGCTACAGTGAAAAATTCCTGGGCTAAAATAAGAAATAATACTGTCAGTAGCAAGGTGATTTGAATGTGGATCAGATCTTCTGATCAGGCTTACCTTCTATGGTTAATGAGAATTTCTTCAGGTTTTGACTTTGCAGTCTTCAGTCAGTTCAGCAGAGAAAGACTGTCAGTATATTAAGATTGCCAAAGAGACTCCAGGCAAAGAAAAAGCATTGTGTTTTTCATCCCTTTGTCCTATGGAAGTAACACTACATAGATCTTTCTCTTTACCTCACAGAGTGTATTTATTTCTCTTAATACTATTTTTTGTTGTTCTGAGCTAGGAAGCACTTAGAGATTTAAGAAAGTATGTATGAGACTGTACCTTCTCTCATGGTGAAAAATTTATGACATGAGTAAATGTCACAAGTCTTCTGTTTTTATTAGGCTGGAAAGACTGTGGCAGGAAGAACTAAAAGAAAATGGGCCTGATGATGCTTCTCTCCGGAGGGTTGTGTGGATTTTCTGCCGCACCAGGCTCATCCTTTCCATAGTGTGTCTGATGATCACGCAGCTCGCGGGTTTCAGTGGACCAGTAAGTAATATCCATCCTTTTTTTAACAACCCCAGAGGGCTCCATCTCATGGCCAACTGTAAAATCTTAAGGTTTCATTGCAGAATCACTTAAATGTTTTGACTAGCTAGAAATTTTGGGGTAGAATTCAAGAGCAATTCAATAATCCAAGATAGGATTGCTACAGCTGATGGATCAGTTGCTACTGAATACCCAGGCAAGTTCTTGGGGAAGGGAGGGGAGTCTAGGTATCCTGGAGAAAATGGACCTTTTGGTTTTTCTCTTTGCTTTTGAGTATAGTTTAAAGTTCTCCTCTAACTGCATGACCTTAACTGCGTAACTTGGTTTTTTCATAAGATTCTTATGTGCAGGTCTTCTAATTGTTTTTCTCTTTGAAATTCTGTAAATTTATCTTGGAATAAAATTCAGTCTGACAAAACACTGATCTTAAATTATTGGCATTAATAACAGTCTTCGAGAAGCGGACCAAAACAGTTCTGTGAGAGCACTGCTTAAAAACTAATGTGAGCAGGTCTCAAGAAGTCTGTGGGCATAGTTTTTACTGATCCTACAGAGAATGGCCAGACAGGTTTCAGGTAGAAGTGTTAGAAAATGTTGTTGCCTCTAGGAACGGCTGCTGCTTGTTGCTAAGGGTCGTATTGAAGATAACAACATGGGACTTGACATTCGCACCATTTTTTTGTCACCTGTTTGTTGCACATGCTGTGCAGATTTAAAGTTGAAATTTTGACTAAATTTATTCTCTACACATTTCCCTTGAGGAGTAGGAGCAGTATTACTGCTAGTAGTACACGTTTCAGTGTGCTGGTAAGCTGGAGGTTCATTTCTTGGGTAAGTACACTTGGGTGCACTGTTAGGTGAAATGTCTTTTTAAAATGTTTTCCTGCTTTTAAATGTCTTATCAAAAAATGATGTTCTGTTTTTTAAGTCTTCTTAAAGTTTGCCTTGTTTCATGTAATATGAATAACAATGAACGTTTCTGTGGTATTGTTTTCTTTGTAATATTTTATAATTGTCTTTTTTATAAAATACGTGAACATACTTTGGTAATTAACAATAAATTATGATTAAGGTTTTAACAGCACTAGCTTTTCCCAAGAAGAGCTTCTGTCATTGCTTCACTACAGGGCTTGAGGAGCTGCTTTTATCTTTAGCAAAGAACTTGCAGCAGGGTTACCCCTAATTTCTGTAGCGTAATGGTTTCAATTTGTCTCAGCCAGACTGCTGAAAGAGAGCCAGAGGGGAAAGGAGAAAACACACCAGCTTGATTATGTTGGGGGCTACTGCTGCAATTGATGCTTGATATGGGTAACTTAAAATTATCTATAGACAGTTGCCCATTTACAGACAACCTTATTCATTTTTCTGAATAAGGCCCAATTCATTTTTGTTTCTACCATTGGCATGAGAATAAGTCGTTACCATCCCTCCTCCCTGTTTTTAAAAATGGCATGCCTCAGGGATATGCCTATGCTGTCTCCTCATAAGTATCAGTGCTTTCTTGTATTGTTACACCCTTTCAGTCGCCTGAAGGTGAGAACAGAGATCAGGAAAAGCACTTGACTTGACCTCATGTATTGGAGGAAAATTATAAAAGTGGAGTTAAACACTATATTAAACTTCAAACATTTTAATTGAATGTCTATGATCTTGAAAGGCCAGCAAATGGCTGTGGCTTTGCTGATGAACGTTGTGATGGTTATAACTGGAAAGGAGTTGTTCCAGATTTCCTGTGTGGACTCTTTTGCTTTGGTTGGGATTTTTTTTTCTGGTATCAGATCCTTCAAGGGTCTTCCTCTTTTTTTATTTTGATACATTTTGCATCTGGCACAGAATCTAAACCTATAACCTGGTAAGTCAGCTGCATGTGTCAGACTGCCTTATAATAACCATCAGAATGTAAAGGTGATATATTATTTAGCTCCAATAAATACTTGCTACTATTTGATCAGCTACCAAAACTTTCAAGTTCTGGTGGAGGAGCAAAGAGGTTTCTTCATTACTAAACATAATCGGTTTAACTCCAGGTCTGAACAATGTACCTGTTTGCTACTGTTCAGAGCTATTCCCATTTGGGAGATGGGGAAACTTGCTATTTTAGTGGAGCACAGCTTGACAGTTTGGTCAGTTACTGGAGGGGGGAGTGGTAAGCTGTGGGAGGTAAGTTTTCCAGTTTCCCCGTTGGCTCCAGCTGCAGCCTGCCCCGTGCTGTGGCGCGCTGGCTGCAGCAGGGACGCCGGCACTGCAGTGGGACCAGTGACAGAAGCTGTTCTTCAGCATTTTCAGGATGGCTGTTTTCTGCGTCAGGATGAGGCTTTCCTGCTGGCCAGAGCCACCGCCAAGAGCAAAGGTAAGGTAATGTTTATTCCATGGGAATGCTTAAGACAGCCGAGCAGCTTGTACCAACCACTACGGTAATAGCCACAGGAGCTCTTTTTCCCCCTTAGCTTAGTGTATATGCTGTAATGTTTTTGTTTTGTAAATAACTTTATGCTGGATTCTTTTCATTAAACTAATATGAACTTGAATAGTACTTGTTCAGATGTAAATGTTAATTTTCTGTGACTTTTTTCCCCTCCCTTTTCAAAATTCTTTAATCTGCTGTTTCCTCTTTTCTTTCTTCCGGAACAAAAATAAATTGGGTTATAATGTAAGCTGGTCTCTATTTCATCATGGGAGAATCTATAAAACAGTGCTGCAAAATTGCACTAAAGTTTTGGGAGGAATGAGACCCCAGGAAACATCTGCTATCTTTATACATCCTCTCTTGGAGACTTTCAGCAATGCTGTGGTGTGTGAGAAAATGCTTGCAGTCTGCGACCAGGCTGAGTTACAGCTCGTGAGGAAAAAGGGGGATTTTCACCCCAATTGCTCAGTGACTCAGTTGCATATGTTGGATTGAATATTGGAAAAAGAAGTCAGTAATCTCCACAGTAACTGCAGACCAACTGTATGCAATTGTGATCCAAACAGTCCATGTAAAATTAAATCAAATCAGGAGAAAGTTGGAATGCAACAGATCTGTGAATGTGAGCTCCTCACATTTGTTCAGTGATCGGTATGTAAATTTTCTCAGTGGTCATTCTAGAACCTGATGGACATCTGGCTTTAATTCACACCTGTGAAAGAGCAAAATTATTTACAGCATGTTTCCTTGGTTCTGATGTGCAGAATTATTTTCCTCTGAACAGATGAATTTGATCTCCATTTTTTTTTTTTTTTGTTATTTGGTGCTGGGCTGTAGCTATCAAAACCTTTGCTGGAGTTGTGGGGTTTTGTTTTCTTTTTTCTCTTCAAACTATACAGAACTCCTACTTGCAAAACATGATTTAGCCAAGAGGACTTCAACGGACTATGATGTGAAAGGCTTCTCAAATATTTTCTTTGGTCTCAGGTTTTTTTTGTTGATTTTTCTTGTGGGCAAAGGTAATTCTCTACTCTGTACTAGAAAGCACCAGTATCTTTAAGCATCATTTGTTGAAAAGCTCTTTAGGAAGTCTCTTGCTGTCTGTGAAGCCTTATTGTAGGATACTTTTGAAATCAGATTTCAGAATTTGTGCAGCCTCAGAAGCCTCCTCTGTTGGTACCTTCAAGCTTGACTTCTTTTGGACTCCGTGAACAAATACCCATTCTAGTTTTGTATCTTTATAATTTTGTGTATAGATTTAAATCTAAATTGTTAGAAGCTAAGACTGACTGTTAGATATTAGCTCTTTATAATTATCCTGTATGTGCAGACTGTATGTTTATACAATGGTCTACCTGTTGTATAGTGTTTTTGAGATGTTACCATTTAAGATGACTCTTCATTTCAAATAAAAGCCTATTGTTTCGCAGTTAATAATATTTAATGCTGGTGGTTGTGAATTGTATGATGTTATATTGCCATTGGACCACAAAGAGCTGGAGTTGGGAATTGGTGGTTCTGGGGGCTGTCCTCTTTCTGCAGGTGATGTTTGAAATGTGATTCCTGAGGTAAAGTGTTTATGTTTTTGGGGGAAGAGGGTATGGGGGGGGATTGAATGGTTAATTTTTTCGTCTTTTTTTTTTTTCTCCCTATCCCCAATGATTTGTGGTATTGCGTACCTTGTGCTTTCTGCTTGTTTTTTTCTTTACTATTAAACTGCTGATGTTTATTTCCAGGAATGTTTTGCAAATGTCCTTCTCACTCTTCCCCTCTACAACTGTAGGTACATTGTTCCTTTTTATCAAATAAGCACGTTTGAAGCAAACCAAAGATAAAATAAAAAAGGTCTTAATGTCACGTAAAGGAATGTTTCTTAATGTGTGCAGATGTATAAGTAGTGACTATATTTTAAAACTCTTCTATATGATAATGCATTGCTTTCAGCTAACTGACACATTTATGTTAAGTTAGAAGACACGGAGGATTAGGAGTGTGCTGCAAGGAATATGGCTCCAAATTAAACTCTCTTTACTTACTAAATTTGACTCAGTGCTTGGCTCTCAGCAGGGCTTGTGTTACAGTACTTCTTGTATTGACACCTTTTACTTCTGGAAAGAAGATGCTTTCTATTTCAAACGGCTCTTTTAAAAGCAAAGTAGCCTACTTATTTCTAACTTAACATAAAGTTGTTGTGTGGTCTTCTGGGATGATGGGGTGTTCATGCAAGCTTGCATTTCTTCCTGTAGGCATTCGTTGTGAAACACCTCTTGGAGTATACCCAGCAGAGTGAGTCCAACCTGCAGTACAGCTTGTTTTTAGTTTTTGGCATCTTTATGACGGAAGTGGTGCGATCGTGGTCCCTGGCACTAACCTGGGCGCTGAACTATCGCACGGGGGTCAGACTGCGCGGGGCTGTCCTGACAATGGCGTTCAAGAAAATCCTTAAGCTGAAGAACATCAAGGAGAAGTCTCTTGGAGAGGTAAGCTGCAGCCTTGTTTTGGAAATGGCAATGTGGAAAGGGATGTGTAATATATTCCTTTGGGAATGAGGTGTGCCTTAAATCTAAATTATCTGTTCTGTTTTTCAGCTCATAAATGTTTGTTCCAATGATGGTCAGAGGATGTTTGAAGCTGCAGCAGTTGGCAGTTTGTTGGCTGGGGGCCCTATCGTGGCCATCTTGGGAATGGTTTATAATGTGATTATTCTGGGTCCAACAGGCTTCTTGGGATCTGCTGTCTTCATTCTCTTCTACCCAGCAATGGTGAGTTGGAAAGAATTAAGACTTGCTTAATTTTTCTTAGGTCAGACAAATGTGTAGTTCTGAATAAAAGGTGTTGAAATGTGCTAGATTTAGCCAGTTTATGGCATTGCGCTTTATTGAAGGCATTTACAAGATAGGGTATGAAGCAGAAATATGGAATCAGGAAGCTCAAAGTGATAAAGTTAGAAAATGGGGATAGGAAAGCTGATAGGTTTGGCTGAGACTAATATTCATAGCTAAATGAAACTGCAGAATATTCAGGTGCTCATGGTTGATGTTGGAAAGATGTGAGGCCTCCAGCTTGTGTATGGGAGCTCAGTGTTGCGTAAGCAGTGTTCTTGATTTCTTGATTCAATGCAAGATGTTGAAAAACACCACATCTGGCCCAGCTTGTTCTTGATGAGGCACTCCTGCTTCTGCTGAGCTGTGAAATAGGCTAGTTCAAGCCAAAATCATCTTGCCTATAAAATGTCTGTAAGACTGCTGAAGAGTTGTCACTGTATTAATAATACATGTTTTCTAAACCATGGAGGCTGAATACTGTGAGGCTCACTGTGGTCCAATTACCTGGCTAAAAGTAAGGATTATGTAGTGGGAGTTGCATTTTAGAGGGGAATGAGGAGTGGAGTTTGAACCTGTTTTCCAGTTCTTTCCAGTAGCTCTCCTTTATTGATGGGGGACTTCAGAAGAGTTTGCAGGTGTGTAAAGAAAGGCAAGGAGCTAAAACTTTCTGCAGTAGTGTGTTGGGTTTGAGTTTCAGACCAGGAATGGGATGAATCTAGGAGTAGCAGATACTTTAAAACATGTCAAACAGCTTTCTGCTTTTAGATTAGTTTAGTAAAAATGTTAAAAACTGTTGTACTACCTTCACAGCACTGGCATGGACTAGAAATTGATCTGACTGGGCAAAGTCCTGATTTGCCTTACAGAATCAGGTTAAAAGGCTGGCTAAAGTGGGGGTCAACTTCATGTGTCTTTAGGTTACCTTTGTGCTTCAGAAACTTTAACTGAACTGGTACTATTTGATATTGGTAAAAGTGCACACCTTTATTCTCAAATTTTTGTTGAAATTTGCTCTCGCAAGTCTGGTGTTGGTGCAGATGGGGCAGGAGGAAATGAATGGTGTTTCCAGCCTGAGTTTTATGTTAGAGCAGCAGTTGCCTGGCCCTATTCCTGAATCCCCTTTTCAGATTAAAAAATAATTTTCTCTGATAATTATGAATTGAAGATACTTGCTTTTTCTGAGTTGCCATCAGTGTTTCATGGTTTTGTTTTTTGTTTCAGATGTTTGTGTCGCGCCTCACAGCTTATTTCAGAAGAAAATGTGTAGCAACAACAGATGAACGTGTGCAAAAGATGAATGAAGTTCTTAATTACATTAAATTCATTAAAATGTATGCCTGGGTCAAACCGTTTTCTCAGAATGTTCAAAGTGAGTTCCCACATCTGTAAATGTCTCCTTTGCTGCAGATGCCCCACTGCTTTGTAGCCTGGTGCATCCTGACTTTGTGCTGTAGGTGCTGCTGTACAAGCAGTGTAAGAACACTCATCCTTCAGGCTCCTTTGCTGTGCACAGTGGGTTGGACAAACAGACCTGCTTCTAAAATTTCACCTTGTGTAATGATGTTCATGGCACGACACTAATATTACGTTTTTCAATTTTGTTCCTCTTTTATAATTTAAAAAATTCCTATATTTGTGTGGAGATTAGGCCATTATAGTTTCCTCCTCTATAATTGCTTTCCTTATGAGAATGTTTATAATGTGATAAACACTAAAGTGTAGAGTTAGGCCTCTTACTCAGTGTTTATGGTGCTATGGTGCTGTCTGTTTTGTGTATGTACCCCCTGAATCATTGTTCAGACGTGGAGCCCCTCTTTGTATTTCTAGAAATTCGTGAGGAGGAGCGCAAAATCTTGGAGCGTGCAGGCTACTTCCAGAGCATCACTGTGGGAGTGGCTCCCATTGTTGTTGTCATTGCCAGTGTGGTGACCTTTTCTGTCCATATGATCCTTGGCTACGACCTTACAGCAGCTCAGGTAAGCTGTTGGAAATATTCTTTATGCTTTTGCTTCTGCAGCTTTTCTGCAGAGCCATTTCTCGTGTGGCTGTGCCCATGTGGCCGGGCTCTATCCTCACTCACAGAAGTGAATACCTGATGGCTGTGACAGCAGCAGGTGGAGTCTTGCACAAAAGGCTCTGAGTGCTCTTTTGTCCTGACCTTCCTCAGAACAGGTTTTGGGCTGAATGTAAATAAGTCCTCCTGTTTGGATGGGGCACTGGGGATTACTGGATGTTTTTGTTTTGCAGTGTGCTTGGATGCAAACAGCACAAATGTCTAAAAATAGAATTTGAATTTGTCTTCACTAGTAGGTTAATGCAGAATTTGACCTACAAACAGAACAAGTCTGTCATGGTCTGTTAAAAGCACTATAGGAGGAGCTGGGTAGATCTGCTGTTTGAGAATATGTTGAATATTTAAATGATTGTTCTTGGACTGGGCCTTTTCTATGGTTTTGACTTGCTGCTGTGCCGTTTCAGCTTCTAGAAGGCTGGAGCTGTTAGAATATTGCATCCAGGTGTCATTATTTTCCTTGTCTCATTTTTAGGCATTCACAGTGGTCACTGTCTTTAACTCAATGACTTTTGCTCTCAAAGTAACTCCGTTCTCAGTGAAGTCTCTGTCTGAGGCATCTGTTTCTGTTGACAGATTTAAGGTAAGCAGTCCTCTGGCCTCAGTTTTCTCTGTAGTTGTGGAGTGTTGTATGTGTTCAGTAGATGCAAAGGGAACACTTGGAAGGTAATATGATTTTAATGGCAGAGAAGTTTTATTTCTTTACACTTAGCATTCTAGATTATTTGATTCTCAAGAGATACAAATGTAGTGAAGGAATATTAGCAGTTTAAGAATAAAATAATACCAGTGTGAGAAGCAAAATAGTCTGATTCAAAGATTTTATGATTTTGAAGTTGGCCATAGGAAGAGATAACAGTGAAGGACTCAGTGGCTCACTGTGTAATAATTTTTAACTCCATTTTAAGAACATCTGTATGAAAAGACTGCAAGATGTGTACAATGAAATTTTATGCTTTGCTAATAAAGCTTTGTGAAAATATCAGGTGTTAGGTAAGCAGGTTAACAAAAAACAGTGGGGTTTTATCTGTAGTCCTAGAACTCTGAGGTTTTATATTTCCAGACCATATTAAGTGGCTGAAATTCCTCTATATCAGTAAAATGGATTTGTGATCTGGCAAAACAGATCTATGGCAGAAAATGTAAAACCCTGATGATGAACAGTCTTATCTTCCATCATGGGGATTGGAGGATGAATACACTGTGTACTTTATGAACGCAGAGGGGAGACCTTTACTTTGTCTTGTCTCTTGAAGATAACAGTGCATTACACATTGTGGAAATTTCCAGAATGGAAAATAGCCCTTTTCAAATAGAAACTTTCACAAGCATTGACAGACACGTGGATTCCCTGTAATGCATTCATGAAAAAATGAATTTTCTGTGTGAGAAAACCAGGATCTGTAGAGTGATTTTTTGAGATTCCATTGCTTTTGAGCAATTTTGCTTCATCTTCTGAGTCAGCCTAAAATCAGCCTAGCTTAAATCTAAGTGCACTAAAGGGAATTTTGTGGGAGGAAAGAGAAGGAAAAGAAATTGAATTTCTCCCAGTTTGTCTATAAATTGTGTAGGAAATGTAACATAAGGTGAGGATACTCTAACATCACAGCAAAAATTTAATTGACGTTTTGGCTCTGTAAATGAGTTTGAGCTTTCTTATCAATGTGTGACTCAGACATAGCAATTGCAAGAATAAATAAAGCTGGGAATTGAGAAGTTTTAGTCACAAAAAACTACTTGGTTCAAAACAAATTGCTTAAGTGGCAAGCATTTTATATTGTAATTAAACTGTGTGAAAAATGTCTTCCTAATCTGTTGATTGTAAATACTGATGGATGTGGTGGAAAATGTGATACAGTTGACTGACTTCCTGCCAAGCAGCCTCAGGTAGATCAGTTACACTTGTGCAAGATGGCTTTTTCCCAGCAGAAAAGTTGATGGATAAAGGCTCAAGTTGAAAGCCATTCTGTCTCCTTCCATAACGATTTGGTGTGCAGGACAAGTCAGTCACTTTGTCCCAAGTGAGCTCTCCTCTCCAACCTGTGCGTTCCGCTCATGTTTTTAATCTGGAACATACAGAGCTGCAGTTGCAAACAGTGTCAAAGGAAGAAGGCCTGTCACATCACATCCAGAGTATTGCAGTTCTGTGAAAGTCAAGTGTATCCAAGTGCTTCCACCACATCCAGGAATGCCCCAGCCACTTAGCAGACCTGGAGTTAGTTTACACTAATGAGCTACCTTTTGCTCTTCAGCTTCCTCCTACTATATAGCCTGATGTGTTTTGCTGCGTGAGTGTGCCGTAGGCTTGTCTCCCAGTCTTGATCAGGTGTCTCATCTTTACACCTCTCTCACAACTCCTATCAGAGTTTATTTCTAATGGAAGAGGTTCATATGATAAAGAAAAAACCAGCCAATCCTCACACCGCGATAGAGGTGAAAAATGCTACCTTGGCTTGGGACTTCTCCCACGCCAGCGTCCAGAGCTCACCAAAGCTGACCCCCAAAGTGAAAAAAGACAAGAAAGTCACCAAGAGCAAGAAAGAGAAAATGAAGCTACAGAATGAGGGACAGCAAGCTGTGCTGGCAGAGCAGAAGGGCCATCTTCTAGTGGACAGTGATGACCATCACAGCCCTGAAGAGGAGCACAAAATCATCCACCTGGTTAGCCTTCGGCTTCAGAGGACTCTGTACAACATTGACTTGGAGATAGAAAAGGTAAGAAGAAATCAGAGGAGGAAATCTGAGCTTTTCAAAAGCCTCATTATAGCTGTCCCCTGGAACAGAGCTGTGTGCTGTTTCATTTTGCATGAAATGGAGCATATTGCTTTTGTGCACTCCTGTAATATCCATGGCAACTGCAGTATCCAGGATGCAGTGTCTGATCTTGCTGTAAACAGCTGTGCCATTTTAGCAACTACATCTTTGCAAACAGCCTGTGAAACAAGGGTAGGCTGTATAGCTTGCACATCCAGCTGAGGGGTTTGCAGCTCCTAGGACAGTGTGTGAGCCACTGAGCTCAGAGAATCTGCAGGGCACCAGGTACCAGTGGCTGCTGGTGAACAGTGTGTTCCTGCAGTGGTTAGATAATTTTGCAGTTTCATCTGTGTTCTGGGTGAGCATTTTATGTGATTAGGTGTTCCAATGGAGCATAATAGTGCTTTTCATTGAAGAATGTGCAATTTTCTTCCTTCAGAATTTTTGTACAGGTGGATACAGTTTTTCAAGAATTGTAGAAGCTTTTGGAGCTATTGCTCCAAGGTGGGTAAGAGCATGTAAGATGTTAAAGAAAAAGCATTGAACTTAATACATGACGTTATCTACACATACAAAAGCTTTGCAGTCTGGCAGTTGGATGCTGCAATAATGGCATCCGTATATTTATGAAGGTATTCATGGTTAAATTGTCTTATGTAGTTATAAAAATAGAGGGATAGTTTAAGCTATTTTAAACAGTAAAAATACCTATATTTTAAACTCTGGGGGGGAATGCGTATAGTTTAAAAAATTGCCTCAAATAGGAGTACAGTTACTTGGAAATGTAAAGGCTGGTTTTGTCTCAGAAGTCAAAAAAAAGCTGGTTTGTTTTTCTCTGCTGTCAAGAGAAGGCCAGCAATGTGTTCCACAAGTGTCTATATACCTTTCTTGTTCACTTGACATTTTTTACAAAAGGAATAAAAATAGTCTTGATAAATTAATTGTTTAGTGTGGATATTAACCCACTTATTCTATTGCAGAGAAATTCTTCAAATTGACTAAATTCTAGTATTTTCTTGGTACATGTTCTATAGCAAATTGGGTCTAATTGGCAAGGAGTTTGACTGGACCCCTGTGTGCTAAATTCTCTTTTCTTTCAGACTTTTCCTCTTTCCTTATCACTCTCAAAAGCGTCTTAGTGCATTCTGTTCAGGCAGACCTTGGTGCTTTTGGTTTGGGCCTGTAACTGTAGTAAGAAGGAAGCTGATCTTCAAAAACCTTTATTTTTACTTGTAGAGTTGATTTCAGTTTTATTTCACTGTGGGATTGTGTTCACTGTATACAATTTGAGTGTTAAGATGCTGACTCTTGCTTTTCTTGTCTGTTATGTCACTTTAGAGCTGTCATTTATATCCAACTGTCCTCTCAGAGATACTAAAGGTAGCCTGAATTCTGAAAGGGATGGTGAACTTAAGAAATGAGTACCATAATTTTTTTCCTTTCTGCATAGGGAAAACTTGTTGGAATTTGTGGCAGTGTCGGGAGCGGAAAAACTTCACTCATCTCAGCAATTTTAGGACAGGTGAGAAATCCCGTTTTGAGTATTTCTGCTCTTCTTTCCCATCTCCTATTTCACTTATTTGTACTGTGTAGAATGCAGTGTGTTGTAAGCACGGGGTAGCATGATCTCACAGCTGGTGTGTACTGCAGATGACCCTGCTGGAGGGCAGCATCGCAGTGAGCGGGACCTTCGCGTACGTGGCCCAGCAGGCCTGGATCCTCAACGCCACTCTGCGGGACAACATCCTCTTTGGCAAGGAGTATGATGAGGAAAGGTTTGTCATGCTGCTTGCTGATTTTTGTGGAAGCTTAGTGATTCTTGGCCCAAGTGTGGGAAGAATTTAATGCAGAGTACACTGCAGATCAAGTCTCTGTGCCCTTCTGGAGTCTGTCTCTAAGTCTCCTCTGAGTCCCATTTGGGATCCTGCCCCTCTTGCGTGTGGCCCTGGGGCTGGTGGTTGTCAGTGTGCCTGGCCCTGCTCCTTGCAGTGAGGCTGGGCCTCATCCTGGCCCTCTGGTTAAAACCAGCAGCTGCTGTGGGCAGCACTAAAGTGGCATTTGCTCTTTACTGTCCTGGCCTTGCCCTCTTCAAACACAACAACTGCTGTGTGCAATGTACTGACGTCTTCCATGGCCCCCCTCCCCTCAGGGACTCTCTTGTGGCCCTTAGCCAGCTATCCCTGAAAACAAATTGTCTCTTTCTCCTAACAATGCTTTTGAAGTAAAAAAAGTTTTTACTTTTTTTACTTCAGTTTTCTCCTGAGACTCCAAGACTGGTAATTTGTTTTAGGCTGCCAGAATATCTGCTATTAGTGTAGAAAATTATATAATGCTGTACTAGTTAAATGATTGTGGGAAAAATCAGTGTTCTTAACTATTTATCTATTTGTTCTTCAGATACAATACGGTGCTGAATGGTTGCTGTCTAAGGCCTGACCTGGCCATCCTTCCAAATGGGGACCTGACAGAGGTATGTTTTGCTTATACTAAACAAATTAATAGATGGAGAAAAGAGTTTTGGTTTGACAGGGTAGACTGGAATGAGGGTACATCACTTGGGGTGCATATGAGCCAAGCTGTTGAATGCATTTTCTTGAGCTAACCTTAGTGGGCCCTGGACTGTTAAGAGTTGTACCCTGTTTTTTACTGAGATGTTGACTGTTTGGGAATTTTTTTATTGTGTTGTAAATTTAGCTGCCTTAACAGGACCTAATTGAACTTAATTTAAAATAGCTAAGAAAACAAATGGCTATATTAATTCATAAAAGGTAAAATAAGCAAGGAAAGTACTACCACATTTCAAGCATATTAACCTTGACTTTGAATGTATAAAACATGTCACAAAGTGGACACTTAAACTTGAATACATATATGTATTAATATAAAATGTTGTGGGGGAATATATATATATCAAAATACATAAAAATGAGTATTATGGTCTGCTTAATCTGGTCATCTATGTTGCATGGTGCTGAAGAAATAAAATGATGGGTGTGTTCTCTGCAGATTGGTGAACGAGGGGCTAACCTGAGTGGGGGACAGCGTCAGAGAATCAGTCTGGCTCGAGCCCTGTACAGTGACAGGGACATTTACATCCTCGATGACCCCCTTAGTGCCTTAGATGCTCACGTTGGAAATCACATTTTTAACAGTGCAATAAGGAAGCACCTGAAGTCAAAGACTGTCCTTTTCATCACACATCAGCTTCAGGTACTGAATCTCCCCTACTTTCTTACTGGGACTTTCTTGAAATGGTTTGTTAAACAGTTGCCTTCATACTGGAAATTTCTGTGCCCTGACCTGTGACAGGACAACCCTCTGTGTGTAGAATATGTGGTTTACATTTATAAACTAGGTTTGCAAATGTACACTGAGCCAAATTTTATTATTTGATGCCAGTGCTGCTTGGTGTCTGACTGGGAATGGTTAACCTTGGGCCAAATAAAATTTACCAGAGAAATAAATACCTGTTCAAAAATATTTTTGCTAGCTTGCTATAAAGCTATTTCATCACAGAAACAGTTATATTTGGTGTTAGTAAATCAGAATTTATGTACGTGAGATTTTTTTGCTGCCTTCTGTGCATAGAAATATTAGTGCTTAGTCTGTCAGTATTTGCAGTGTTTAAGTATCCTGAGTCATGTCTTCCAGAAAAGATTGGTTTTGATAGGACACAAAAACTTTTTATTTGTGTAGTGTGAGTAATCATGGTGCTCTAGTCAGAGGAGGACCTCTGTAAATCAGCTTTCTGTTGTGTGGGCATAGGTGTGCTGTGTGCCAGTGTCTACAAGCTGCTGGGAAGGGCTGTGTGGGAGTGTTTGGTTACTGAACATCGTGATAGAGACTTGTTCTTGCTGCCACTTTCCCCAGTATCTTGTTGACTGTGATGAAGTGATCTTCATGAAAGAAGGCTGCATTACCGAGCGAGGCAGTCATGAGGAGCTGATGAATTTAAATGGGGATTATGCAACTATTTTTAATAGCCTACAGCTGGGAGACACACCACATATTGAGGTACTTGTTTATTTTAAAGTGCTCTGAATCTTAACTATTCTGAGGTGAACCAAGTGATGTTGAAAATGTGGAAATGGCTTCACACATTTTCATGTGTTGATCTGACCAATAGATTTCCTATAGAATAATCTCCGCTTCATTAGCGCTTTGTCACAGTTTGTTTTTAGGGAGTGTGTGCTAGAGAGGACTCTGCCAAGGAGCTCATGAGTTAATGAAAATATTGTAGTGTCTCCCCTGGTGATGCTCAGAGCAGGAAGTTCTTCTCTTACTGTACACTGCACTCCTTAATTTACCTCTGAATTATGCAGATCTTCAACAACCTTTCTCTGAAAAAATTCTTACTGGCTTGTTACTATGTTTTCAATGGAGTGTGACTGAGGCACAGCAGGTGTGACACAACTTGTCAAAAGTTAGATGTGACAGTATTTTGGAGGCATAATTGAAAATGCTGTGTTTTGGGGGAGTTTGAGAAAAAAATGTTTTGCTTTGACACTAATTCTGTTATGAAAAAAGTCTGTAAATGCAAAGTTGAATATGTGCTCTAGTATTTCAGTTGGTGGAAAAATTGTAAATCTAGAAAATAACAAGAAGCATTTAGTACAACAATATCTAAATTTCCAGCAATTTAATTTTCCCCACCCTTCTGCTCTTTGTTTCCTGAAGTTAATCTCTAGAGTAAGGGTCTTGGCATTTTGATTTATAATAACTTGTCTAAATTTTGTGTGCATTTTCTCTTAGAAAGAAAAGATTAAAAGTACATCAACAGTTTATTTTTTAAGAGATGAAAGGCTCCTTACTCATGAGACATTTAAAGCAAAACATTTCTGAGAAGGAAGCATTATAAGAATTACAGATACAGAAGGAGTTTGACACATTCTCCTGGGAGATATTTGTGAAAGAAGCAAAAGGATATAAAGCATTGCTCTGCATATCCTTTGAGGCATGGAGATAATAGTTCTGCCATTTTAAGACTAATATAATGATAGTGAACAAGAGATTCTCCAGTTTTCATGCTTGGCTGACCTTCAATGTTGCTGTAAACATTAGCTCATGGAAAGACCATTAAATTGCATTCCCTATGGGATAAGAATAAATGGATGATCAGTTGGATTCTCTGTGCTTTGATCTCGTGTCAAGTGTGGGAAGGCAACCCTGAACATGGTGTGTAAGGGGTTTCAGTCTGTGTAGGCTGACTCTGAACAGGCAGTAGCTCCCAGTTATGGAAAGATGGCTGGGTTTAGAACAGTGCTTGTGTGTTACTTTAGTGTTTGGATATTGGATTTCTGGAAGATCAAGTTAACCTGACTTTTCTTAAGAAAGCTCTCATGAAATGTGTCTAAGTGCTAGGGTGCTTGGGGAAAAAGCCTCTTAAAAAAAAAAAGTGAGTTATTTTTACAAGGGTTAGGGAGATTATATCTTGCAGTAGTAGGGATATCATTCCTCTACCATGTACACTCAATTTCACTGATCCTGGAAATTACCCTTGCACTCCACCTGTACAGCTTGGTAGTTCAGATTAATAGAGGAGGAATATTTAATCCACCAGAGTTGGCAATCATCTGTAATAACTGTGAAGTTAATAGTCTCCTTGATGTGAATGCTGAGCTATTGAAAGCCTTTGTCCTTAGGTGGCAGATAAATAAAAGTTTGTGTTTAGATATGAAAATGTCAAAGCCAACTACTGTTTAGTGTCATTGTTTTCCTGCAGATTAACATAAAGAAGAACACAAACAATTCATTGAAGAGGCCCCAGGATAAAAGTACCAAAACAGGGTCTGTGAAGAAGGAGAAGGTTGTAAAGAAGGAAGAAGAGGGTAACTATGTAATCAAATTTCTGGCTGTAATTATTTTATACTCCAATAAGCTCAAAACGTGTGCTTCAAAGTATATTGTTAATTTACCTCTCAGGCTTTGGAAGCTGTCTCAATCCTAATCACTTAGTGTGGTTGATAGGAGACAGGCAGTGGGCAAAGAACATTCATTAATTTGTTAAATGTGGGTGCCTGTACAATGTTTTTAAGTTCAGTCAGATGACATTAGCACAAAGGAGCTGGTACTGCCTTGTCTCCCACACCACCTCTCCCTCCTGTCCTAAGAGGGCCATGTGTACAGCTTGGCACTCAGTCCTGGGCAGGACGTGGCATTTAGGGATGAAGGGAAGGTCTGACCTCTGTAGTTCTGTTTAATGTTAGCTTTGAACTTCAGTGTTTAAAAAGCAATAGTGAGGCTGATCCCAGCCTAACATTTAAGTCTGTGCTGATGAGGCTTTTCAGCTCTACAATAACTTAAATGATTCTGCAGAAGAAATGTGACTTCCGGAAAAACTGTTTGAACCACTGAGTTCTAAGTGTGACCTAAAGTGTGTGTTTCTGAAAGTACTCTGCACCATTTGAAAGACTAATTTTGTGAGTGTTCACAAATTTACAGGAATTTGATGGAAGAGCTTTCCTCATTCCCTCTTCATCTTCTGTTTCCCAGGCCAGTTGGTCCAGTTGGAAGAGAAAGGCAAAGGCTCTGTGCCCTGGTCTGTTTATGGTGTCTACATTCAGGCAGCTGGAGGCCCCTTTGCATTCCTCATCATCATGGCACTGTTTGTGCTAAATGTGGGCAGCACAGCTTTTAGCAACTGGTGGCTGAGTTTCTGGATCAAGCAAGGCAGTGGAGTAAGTTCAATAGCTTTTCTACTCTTGTGTCTAATGAGCTGGGGGTTTGCTCTGCTAGACTGATCCCAAGCAGTCCTGTGAGACCAACTGGTGCTTCCTAATTTAAATAAGTTGTAAAGCTCCCCAGGAAGTGCTCTCATGAGGGAGCTCGTCTCCAGGAATAAGAGAGCTCCAGTAATAAGAAAGATATAATAGCTTATGTGGTTTAATGCTGCCCTCTTGTTCCTTTTCCTGGTTAGTCTAAGAAAAGGAAGTGAAAATATGAAAGGAGCCAACAAGCTAATTTTAGTGTTGTGTTTTGTTTAAATGTGATGCTACACCTAACAGGAAAATTTTTGTTAAAATATGGCTTTGAGTCAAATGCCTTTTGGAAATGGCTTTGAAGATTCTGATGACCTGGGATGGTTTGGCCTTTTTCCCACTCTTAGGTCTTTGATTGCAAGTCTTGTTGTATTTAAAAATCCAAATATAATTGCAAGAGTTTTTTTGTGGGGGCACAGAGAGCAAGATACATATCTCAGAGATGAAATAATGAAGTGCAGATGGCCAACAATATTAGAATCAGCAATGAGGTCCTTAAACATACTTAAAGATCAGGAATAAAAGAGAATGAGAATGTATAACAGTGGGACAGTAAAGAATTTATTGCATAGTGGCAGAAATAGGTGCTTGATAAAGATCTATCCAAGGTGAATATGGCTTTGTGGTGGTATCCACGTATCTGACGACGTTCAGAAGAACACAAGAAATAAGCATGAAATGAGATATTAGGAATCAAATTAAAAAGGCATTGTGGTAGTATTTTGAAAGATGTTGTAGGAAAAAGATCAAGGGCTACAAATCTACAAGTCGAGCATCTCTGCCAGGGAAAAATTTCTGATATATTCAATGGTCACTGAGGTACTTTAAAGAAGAAATATCAAATGTAGTGGGAGAAGAGACAAGGCAGTTAAATTCTACCACACGTAATGTATACATGCTTCATCCTTGTCTTAAATAACCTCTGAAACCTTGACTTTTCTGCAGAACACCACAGTGACTTTGGGAAATGAGACTGTCATAAGCAACAGTATGAAAGATAACCCTCACATGCATTACTATGCTGGCATCTATGCACTGTCTATGGCAGTTATGTTGATCCTGAAAGCTGTTCGTGGGGTGGTGTTTGTAAAGGTAGGTGCCAGTGCTGGTGTTGGTCTCCCCCCTACTCCTGCTTCTGGAAATTGCTGTCTCTGTGGTTCTTTTGGTCATCTCCTGAGAGACTTTTGAACCAGAGTCAATAATGGATTGTAATATTTCCATAGCCAGCTCTTGAGGCCATACCATGTTTCTGCTGAACTTCTGGTCAAATTAATGGCTTCCTTCATTGGTTGGAAGCAGTAAAATCTTATGGTTGGAGAGAAACGGAGTAGAATATTTGGGTGGCAGGAGGGCAAACACTGCTTTACAACTCCGCAATTTTTTCTGCATTGTCAGGGGACTCTCAGAGCATCCTCAAGGCTCCATGATGAGCTCTTCCGACGGATTCTGCGTAGCCCCATGAAGTTCTTTGACACTACACCCACTGGGAGGATCCTCAACAGGTTTTCCAAGGACATGGATGAAGGTATCTCTCACTGTGTGCCCTGTAAATCCCACATTCAGACCTCCCAGTTAGGCCCTGAACACTCTCCAGTCTGGTGCTGTTGGGGTGATTGTACCCTGTGTCTGTTTCCAAATGTGCACTTGCAATAAAGGAAGCAGGAATTGGGACATACCTGGGTTATGATTCTAGAAGGCAGCTGATAGCTCAGGTCTGAGCATCCACTCCACTTATGAAGAAGGAAATGTGCTGCTGCTGTTGTACCTTCAGGCTGCACGTTGGATCTCAGCAGTTAATGCAGGAGCAACTTAAAACATTAGAGTGAAGCTGATGTGCAGCAGAGGTGGTAATTAGGCCAGAGTTACATCAATGCTATTTCTGCAAATGGGAATAATTAGACTGCCAGTAACTCATAAGGTAATAACATCCGAATGAAAATGTACATTTCTAATTTGAATAAACTATGAGAAATCCCTGTGTTTGTTACTGAGGTACAGCTGGACTGAGTTGTTTTCCATGGGTTGTTTTAGTTTTCTGTACTCAAAATCTTCCTCTTTTCCTTCCATTTCCCCAGTTGATGTTCGTTTGCCGTTTCAAGCGGAAATGTTCATCCAGAATGTCATCCTTGTGTTCTTCTGTGTGGGGGTGATTTCTGGGGTTTTCCCCTGGTTCCTGGTGGCAGTGGGGCCCCTCATTGTCCTGTTCACAGTTCTGCATGTTGTGTCTAGGTAAGTGCACCAGCTGCTTTGGCTGAAAGAACAGATACTTTCACCTTCAAGTACAGCATAGTGGTTGGCACGTGGTGGTTCTGCACAAAACTCAAAGTGCTTCTTTCCTTCCAGAGTCTTTATTCGAGAGCTCAAGCGTCTGGACAACATCACACAGTCTCCATTCTTGTCTCACATTACATCTAGCATCCAGGGCCTCTCCACAATCCATGCCTACCACAAAGGACAGGAATTTCTGCACAGGTCAGTGAAGATATCCATCTGGGAATGGTGGAGCACAAAGCTGAATGCAACAGCTTCTGGCGTTCAGAAGGATTTATTACTGGGGTCTGATGGATCATTGGGTCTGTGACTGAAAATTACTTTTCTGGGGAAAAAAACTGGGAGAACAGATGGAAGGGTAAGGGAAAACTGGGAAGAGCAGTGGTGGAGAAAGTTTGCAAACCCTACCATCATGTTTTGGTTTGAAACTTGGTCAGTGATGAGTCTTCCCACCCTGAATCCTGATACTGGAACAGGAATTTAAGTAGATCTGATATTTGTAGAACTTCAGGCTCATGGAGTCTACTGACCTTTGCTGTGTTTGTTGCAGGTACCAGGAGCTGCTGGATGACAACCAGGCCCCGTTTTACCTGTTCAGCTGCGCGATGCGCTGGCTGGCCGTGCGCCTGGACATCATCAGCATTGCTCTGATCACAACCACTGGCCTTATGATTGTCCTGATGCATGGCCAGATCCCTCCTGCCTATGCTGGGCTGGCCATCTCCTATGCTGTGCAGGTGAGTGTGACCACATACTGTAATATTTAATTTCTCTTTTAATGTAGATCTTGCTAATGAGCAAACCGCATCTAGGGCTGGCTCAGAGGAGCTGCAGGGCTCTGAGCGCTCGTGTTGGAGCTGCTGTTTGGCCTCTTCTGCCTCCTTGTGGTGCCGAGGGGAAATTGAAGAGCTTAGACACTAACATACTGTTGCTCTTGGGAAAAGTTTCTTAGCTGCTGGTTTCTCAAGGGATTCATAAATTATGGTGATTTTAAAATGAACTATTTAATTAACTTGCATTGAACACTTTAGTTATATGGTGCCTGATGTCAAGAATATCAAATATCATAGAATTCTTCTGGTTGGAAAACAGCAATAAAGGTCATTGAGTCCAGCTATTACCTCAGCAATGCCAAACCCACCACTAAACCATGTTCTCATGTGCCACATTTACACAACTTTTAAATACCTCCAGGAATGGTGACTCCACCACTCCCCTGGGTAGTCTCAGTGCTTGGCAACTCTTAGTAAAGGAATGTTCCTAACATCCAATCTAAACCTTCTGTGGCATGACTTGAAGTTGTTTCCTCTTGTCCTATTGCTTGTTAAGTGGGAGAAGAGAGCAAACCCCACCTGGCTACACCCTCCTTTCAGGGAGTTGTAGAGAGTGATAAGATGCCCCTGAGCCTCATCTTCTCCAGACTGAGCCCCCACCTCCCTCAGCTGCTCCTCACAGGACTCCAGACCCTTCCCCAGCTCTTGTTGGCCTTCTCTGGACATGCTCCAGCACCTCAATATCTGTGCTGTAGTGAGGGGTCCAAAACTGAACACAGGGTTCAAGGTGTGACCTCACCAGTCCCAAGTACAGTCACTGCCCTGCTCCTGCTGGCCACATTCATATCTTAATTCAATAACAAGTCACAGCTCTAAAAATCTGTTTTCTTTCACCTCTTCAGTTAACAGGGTTATTCCAGTTTACAGTCAGACTGGCTTCAGAGACAGAAGCTCGTTTCACCTCAGTGGAGAGGATTGACCACTATATCAAGGTAGGACTACATTCAAATGCCTGTTGTGAAATTTTGTGTTATGTTGCTGGCCTCAGCATAGTTTGCCCTAGTACAGAATGTACATTCCTGATCTTGGAAAGGCACTAAAACCTGTGCTGTAACACTGCAGAGTGAGTTTGTTTTGTGAAGCACATTTATCAGCACTGGGGGCCTGAATGGCCCCTGAGCTGGTAGGTAACTAAACTTAGAGGCATTGCTGGGTTTTTGTGAGCTATTGGAAGCTTGCTGACACTCACAGTAAAGAGTGGAGTGTGTGAAAGGGGTAACTTGGGGATTCAAAACATTATTTTATAGCAAAAGGATGGTGTTCTGGCATCCTTCTGTCCAAACATAATGGAATTCCTTGATTTAAACAGATAACTGTTTGTTATTTTATCTACAAGTAATTCCACTTCAGCCTAATAAGCCTACTTTTCCACAGCTGTCTTATGTAACATATTTCTGTATGCTTGAAAAGTCAAGGGAATGCTCTTACTGCAAACATGAGAAATGTGCTCAGCTGAACATGATAAATGTGCCAGGCTAAATGCTTAGCAAGCTGCTCTGATTATCTGTAACCCTTTCTTTGTGACTGGGATTTGTGTGTGCAGAACTGGGCGTAGGTCAGTGGGGACAGTGTAGCCAGGAGAAAGCCTCCTACTGGGTCTGGTCTGTGAGGTGGAAGGCTTTTCCATTTAATGTTTCCTGTGACTCAGAGGGAGATACATTTATTTATTTGGTAAATCTATTCGACACATTTAGAAGGGCTATTTAGTAGTTGATATTGTAGCTTTTTTAAAATGTGTGGATTTAATTAAAGGTTAAAAAACAGAAGAAAAAAAAGCCCCAAACCTGTCCATTTCCCCAGTTAAATAAATCCTCTGGAGGCATCTAAGTAGAAAACTTCTGCACATGGAAGACTTGGTGATCACACAAGTTGACAACTGTGCCAAATATTGTATCTCTCACTGGGCTGGGATGGGTTTATCAGAGTCGGGCCCTTAGTGGCAAAACCTACAGCTGTAGGCTGTTGGGGTTTTTTAAGAGTTATGTCTCTCATTCTATATCACTATCAAGCAACACTAGCTGTGATTTTAAAACAATTTTGATCTCTAGACAGCCATTTATGAAACTGTAAAACTAGTTTGAAGCTGAAGTGAAGGGTGGGTGGTCAGTGAAACACCATTCAGGTCCTGGGTCTTACCAAAGCCCAGGCTTGGCTTTTTGCAGTGGGGGCTCAAGGTTGCTGTTTTGACCACCAAGCTCAAAAAATTGGAGCACTGTCCTAGCAGATGGCTGTTTTTCTCTCAAACCTCTGGTGTACAATTAATCTGCCTCTGACTAGATGTTGCAGATGTCCACAACTGCCATCCCTGTGGGATCTCTCTATGGTCAGTGCAGGAAATGGGTGTCTCTAGAGGGCAATTTATTACCTGTTCCAAGTGTTTATATTAGAATGAGAAAAATCACACTCCAGAAATGCTGTTTTATAGCATTTGTAGAGATCTCTCTTTGTAGAGACTATAAAGGAGTTGTCATGGCCTGGTTCAGTTACATGAGGTGAATCCCATGACGGGATTGCTGCCATTCTTTGAGGGTACTTGTGCCAAGTATGGGAAAGTGACCTTGGCTTCACTCTAAACATGCTATAAAGCCTTTTGTTTGGCTTTCAGAGGTTCTGCTTTTCTGTTTAATCTGTGAACTGCTCAATAAGGGGCAGAGTGAAATAGCAAAAGTGACTAGGCTGGAAGGGACTGACTCAGTGATTCAGTAGAATAGTGGAACATGAGGAGAAGGAAGAGGGTGGCATTTATGTTACTTGGACATTCTCTTCTGTGTCAAAATCAACAGTGGTGACCTTGGTGTGGCACAGCAAATGCACCAGCTTTTGCATCCAGTCTTTGGAGTGCTAAGAAGCTCAATAGGATTGTGCTGATAAATAATAGGCCTAAAATACATTTTGAATTCCATCGGTGAAACCACTGTTGTATAGGAGGACTGATGTCATTACTGAGGCAACAGGAGGGGAATTAACAGTGTGGTCAGTGTAATACAGCAAACTTCTGGACCACTGTGCCCACATCCAACCAAACAGCTCATCATGGAGCTGCCATAAATGATCTGGGCTGAGTCTGCAGGGAAGAACTGCTGAAAGCTGCAGCTGATAATTTTCCTTTGGTGCTTTGTTTACTAGAAACTGAACTTCTGTATTTTTGTTAAAAGACGCTTTCCCTGGAAGCTCCTGCTCGAATTAAGAACAAAACTCCTCCTCTGGACTGGCCACAGGAAGGTGAAGTTGTTTTTGAAAATGCAGAGATGCGGTACCGAGAGAACCTCCCTCTAGTACTTAAAAAAGTGTCTTTTACCATCAAACCGAAGGAGAAGATTGGCATTGTGGGGAGGACAGGCTCAGGTAAGGAAAAACACTAAGCAGAGTTAAATTATTACTTTTACAGAACAGATTGGAGCAGTCATATTGGTTCTCCTGTGTTTGAGTAAGTTGGTTGCGCAGGAGGGGTTGAGCACTCTGTCGGTGGAGGTTTCCATTTATGTCTGTACATAAGCAAGATCCCTGTGAACAATAGTGAAAACAAGTTTCCATTTAAAGCACAGGGATATCCTACTATGTGGAGCCAGTATGTTGATTGTATTAAACTCCCCAAGCCACTGACCAGCACAGATTGGTGCCTACAATGTGCTCCTTGCAGCTTCTCTGACTCTCTTGAAGGATTCTCTACTGATGCTGCAGGCAGGTTTGGCTCTGAACCGTCTCAGAACTCTGTAATGTGAAGAATCCAAACCCCTGTTTGTGAGATTACTTAAATCAACCTCAAAATGAGTTTCTAAATAAGTAATTTATATTGTTTTATTGGGTTTTCATGGCAGGGTTCTGGCAGTGGGGTTGGGGCAGCACTCCAGGCATGACTTCTTTGAGCTTTAGGAGCTGCCCCCACAATTGCTCAGAAGTTTAAATGCTGAACCTCAGAACTTACCAGAGCATTGCTTGCCAGGACTTTTTGGTATTCTAAAACTTTTCTTAGATGTGGACAGCTTTTAAAATGCTTTCTCCTCTGAAAACTGTTATGATTCTGTAGAAACACCAGTCATGTTTTTCCTGTCTCATTTTTAGGGAAGTCTTCCCTTGGAATGGCACTCTTTCGTCTCGTTGAACTGTCTGGAGGCTGCATTAAAATTGATGGAGTGAAAATAAATGACATTGGCTTGGCAGATCTTCGGAGCAAACTCTCCATAATCCCTCAGGAGCCTGTGCTGTTCAGTGGCACTGTGAGGTTAGTGAGGCCACAAGAAGGCAAGAAGGGACTGAGCAGTCTTCCTGCTTATACCTGAAATGCAGTAGTTGCCTGGTGAGGTGGTAGCTCTCAGGCATCCTAGCTTCTGTTCTGGTTTTGAAACAAAAAAACCCCACAGATGAATGATTTTAGCTGGCCCAGTGCAGCACTGGGTGTGATCATGCTGTATGGAAATCTTGCTTCCCTTATATGTGGTTGAAGTTTTAGTATCTTTGTCTTCCATCTCTACTCTTGTTTTTTGGCTCTCCTAACTTCGGTGTGCTGGGAACATCTGATTTCCCTGGCAAGGAAACTGTTAGTGGAAGGCCAGATGGGAATCACCTGTCTGGATAAATTAGCACACTGTTGGTTTGCCTTTCATTGCTGAGTTAAAGTTCTCCTTGTTTTCTGCTTCCCCTTCCAGATCAAACTTGGACCCTTTCAATCAGTACAGTGAGGAACAAATCTGGGCTGCTTTGGAAAGGACTCACATGAAGGAGTGTGTAAGTATTATGTGCTCTGGGTAATGGGTGTTTGCATTTGACTTCCACAGCAACATAATCTGTTAGTAGCTGCTTTAGAGGTCTTTATCTAAGCTATCTCTCTACATTTTTCCCCTTGTTCTCTATTTTTTATTCCAATTTTTTATTCTTTTTCCCATGATTTTATCAGACTGCTATTTTTGGATTTTTTTGGGATATGCCATATTCTTTAGTTTTTTTAGTATATAGAATAGCAGAGTGCTGCTTCATCACAAGGATTCTTAGGGTATTAAAACATTTCAAGTGATATTTTTCTGTATGTGCCTGAGGTGTGCATTCTGCATTTCCATTTGTGACTGTACGTGTCACATGTGCAAACTTATACTGAACTTAAAACCTGCCCTTTGCAAGGCCCTCTGCAGTAAGTCTTGACATTTCCAGTTCTTTTTCATGTAAGTCAGGTAGCAGGTACAGCTGCAGGAGTTCCTGCAGGGACTAGATTCACTCTTCTGCTGGTGACAAAGATTGTCAGGAGATCTGTTTGTGTTTATATGATTTTGTGCAGTGCTCTAAGATTTTTTTTCCTCTTCTTTCCCACACAGGTTGCACAGTTGCCTATGAAACTTGATTCAGAAGTGATGGAAAATGGGGAGAACTTTTCTGTTGGAGAGAGACAGTTACTGTGTATAGCTAGAGCTCTGCTGCGTCGTTGCAAGGTGAGCACAGCAGGGAGAGAAATAGCTAGAGATACCAGAATTATAGGATTAAACAAGCCTTTTCTGAATTCTTTGTCTGTCAGAGGAATCACAGCAATGATTACTGCAACCCAGAGAGGTGTAGGGTTAAAACAAACAGGAAAGTATCTGTAGCCATCTCCTGTAATGTCCTACCATTGGAAAGGAATTGCTTGTAGCTGCTAACAATAGTGTGTCAGACAATAATTTCTTCAGTGTCTTGTTACTCGGGAGCATCAGATTCTTCCCTTTTTCCACCTTTTTGTGAATATGAGCCAAGTGTTTTTCTTCTACATGATGCTCCACTAAAATGTGGTCTCCAAGTGGAATTTGGGACCATGCTATGCTAGCCAAGTGAAAGATTTTGCAGGAATGGAAAACAAACAATTTCAGTGAGAGGATTTTTGGATTGAGATTTATCAGGATTCTGGTTTTAACAATCTTTTTTCTGAAATGTGACATATCATAATATTTTTAAAGTTCACTCTGCATCTGTTTTTAAAGTGAGACTACTCAGCAGAAGTTACTGCTGTCTCTGCAGTACCTGCACAAAGCATGTTCAGTTTTGACAAGAAATCAGTCCAAATCAGTTTGTCTGAGGGGAGGAGACTTTTTACCCAGCGTAAGAAAGCTATTAAGCCTAGTCTGTATTGACTCATTCCAGGAGGAATGTCACCACCAGGGATGTGTCAAATTAATTTATTGGTAAAAATTCTGCTTGAGATTCATCTAGGAATATAAAAATTCTGCTTGAGATTCATCTAGGAATATAAAATTGGAGGTAATAGAAACTTGAAGCCCAGGTTATAACCCATGTGTAGCTCTAGGATGTGACAATAAAAGTGTGTCATCTATAGGCTTTGTTGAAGGCAATTACATAGAGAAAACTGAAAGGGTACTTGTAAAAGCTGTGTTTGTGCCCACAACTCTGTAAGAATTGCCAGTTGTGACAACACTTGGCTGGGGCCCTTCTGCCCCCTCTATATGTATTTTTATATTCTGGGAGGGAAGGTGTGACCATGGGTAACAGCCAGAATTCTGTGCTGCTTTCAGATACTGATCCTGGATGAAGCAACAGCTGCTATGGACACAGAGACAGACTTACTGATCCAGGAGACCATCAGAGAGGCGTTTGCAGACTGCACTATGTTAACAATCGCTCATCGCCTGCACACGGTCCTGGGCTGCGATCGGATCATGGTGCTAACACAGGGACAGGTGAGCAGGGAGGCGTCTGTGCCTCCGGCCTGCTGGTGCCACGTGTGCAGACTGAACTGAGGGAACAGCTGCACTGCAGGGCAGAAAATCCTCTCTGTTCATTCATATCCTTGCTAATAAAAGTCCAGTAGAATCAGTTGCTGCCTGTGACAAGATCAAAGATGGCAAAATTTCTTTTTCACACTAGGAGAGTACTATAGAATAACAGTCTGTCTTTAAAAATCTCTGAGGCTTCCTTTGTACGTTAATTCTGAGATGGGTAATAACATAAACATCTCTGCTGGGGCTCAGTGGCAGTTTCCCATTACTTTCATAAAGCCCTGTGCCATCAAGCACACCTATGGCAGATACTTCACATATTTTTCAGACTTTCATTTGGGGGCCATAAACAGTTAAATGCAAGAACATTGGGCAAGGCTCCTTAAAGGTAGAGAAGTCAAAAGCCCATAGCATATGCCTCTGCCAGAACCACCAGAGGCTGCTTCCTCTGGGCTACTTCCAGTTTCTCAGCCAGTTTGAAGCATTCCAGGTTACAGTATTCCTAAATGCAAGTACTTTCACTGCCTGGTGTCTCACCTAAAGATGAATGCTTTGTTTTCCACTCTTTACCATCACATCACAAGTCCAAGGGGTGGAAGTCAATTCGCTGCTGCATTTTACTGACATACTTTACCTGCCTTGTTTGGTTTCAGGTAGTGGAATTCGACACCCCGACTGCCCTTCTGGCCAACGAGAACTCGCGCTTCTATGCTATGTTTGCTGCTGCAGAGAACAAGGTTGCTGTCAAGGGTTGAAATTCAGGGCAAAGTCACTTTAATTTTGGAGAGCTACGCTCCCTGCCTGTGGCAGGCCAGCTCTTCCTCCTCCTCGCAGATTGTCTTTTCATCTTTTAATTTTTAGCACAATGTGTCAAGCCAGAGAGTTTTAAAAACCGTGTCAGAAGAATTCATGTTTTTATTATTGTATTTATTCCATACTACTAATTTTTTGTTATTAAATGCACTCTACAAATGGCTCAGGGAGCCACAGTTATAAATGTATCAGAGGCCTATAATGAAGCTTTATACATGTAGCTATATCTATACATAATTCTGTATATAGCCTATATTTACAGTGGAAATGTAAGCTGTTTATTTTATATTAAAATAAGCACTGTATTAATAACAGTGCATATTCTTTTCTATAATTTTGTACAGTTTATGGTACCAGAGATCTGGCTTTATTGGACTGTATCAGACAATGTTTTGTCTTTTACAGTTCATCTTTTCCTAGTGCCAGATTTTCTGCGTGTCTGAGTGGAAGTGAAGCTTTGCAATAGTGTCCTTTATTGTCACATCTTTGTCTAGCGCAGCAGAGAAGAGCTCTGTGGTGTAACTATTGCATTGTAATTTATCAGAGCTATTTGGGGCATTGCTAATGCTCACCACAGCAGCGGCTGCTGCTTCCCATGATGCTTCTCCAAAGCAGGGTTTTTAGTGATCCGAATGGAGAACCACTCCTGGGTCACATTAAAGCCTTGTGTTTTCTCAGTGTCCTGACACAGTATTTCTTACTGTATCAGCAGAGTTTATTTTAATGCAAGCAAGCCCAAGCTCTTCCTGCTTCGCTGATCTAACACAACCAAAATCTTACTGTTTGTGGAATGATCTGTAACAAATTAATCATAAGGTTCAAATTGTACCCTGTATGCTGGCAGGAAAGCCTTTTCAGAGTTGCTTCAGCTGACTGACTCTTTATCTTGAAGCTGCTAACACTCCTCAGAGGTTTAGGTTGGCTTTCTCTGGCATGGGTAACACTAACTCTTTGTTCTGCTCACTTAAACTAAGATTAATCAACATGGATATTCCTGTTTCTTTCTTGCACACTTGTTAAGGAAGCAGTCCTCGACCCCACGTCTTCTGGAACCTGAAAGGGGTTCCTGTTGATCAGGATGTAACACTGGTGTAGGACATGGTTTTCTTACTGTAAATGACCTACCTCAGGTTACTGGGTCCTGCGTAGTGCGTTGCCATGATCACTGTACACCATTCCTGTTTTTGGGACCTGTGGCCCGGGGGACACAGTCGTTCCTGTGATAGCTGTGACTTATTGAATGGTCAGCGTTGCATGTCTTTGTCAACTTGGACATTTTGTAGCCTTAGCATGTTTGCAAAATGTCTCATTGAGGCAGAAATCTGAAAAGTAAATAAAACTATTTTGGGTTTTGTAAATTTTATTGGTGTAAGTGGTTTGTTTTGGGCACATAAAGAACTTTGCACCTTTTTGAGCCCTGGGGAGCAGGTTTGCAGGCTTTTGTTTTTTTGTTTCTTTCCTTGTCATGCATCATGTTCTGATCTTTCTTCCTTCAAAGTAAAGGTTTTTCTTTAAAAGTGTAGTGGGTGATTTTTGTGCCCTCCAGCATGGGGGTAGCTTGCAATACGTGTATGTTGAGTAGTACAGGGAGTAATAATTTATAGTGCAAGTATTCAAGCCAAATAGAAGGGCTGAGGTCACGTAGAAGACCTTCTTAGGCTCAGATTTTCCATTTTCTTTACCTGAAAGCACTACTGTTTATAGAGTGACATGACTGCAAAGCCACAGAAGCATTTCTACCTACCAGTACCACAGGCAAATTGTGGTATTAACAGAGCTTGCACTGTAGCTTGAAGTAGCACAAAGCATTGTTGTGATTGTTCTTAACTCCTGTCCAAAGCAAGAATTAACTAGCACAGACCTTACCCTGCTCACAGGCCTGGAGTTTACCCCATGGACTTCAATATTTCCCTTGAAGGAAATGGGCTAATGTACCTGGTTCTGCATGCTGCTGGGGTCAGTGTGTGGCTTCACTTTGCAGCTAAGGCTGAGCTAATGGCAGTCTAGGCAAAAGGGGAGCCATCCTGATCTTATCCTCCTTCTTCTTCCAGGCTGGGACTTCCTCTTCCCTTCCCGATGCCAGCAGTGGCTCTTGTGTGGTCCAGTTCAGAAAGCTAAGTTGCAGAAAGCAGGAATGCTGTACAAAGGAGGAGACAGGAAGGCACAACCCACAGGAAGGGAGGTGAAGTGGGGCTGCTCTTCTCAGCAGGTGCTGGCTGTAACAGTAGCGTAGGTGTGAGAGGGAATGCTCGGTGTTCGCTGCCCAAACTGCTGCTCCCCAGTTACACTCTGCTTAAGAGCTGAACCTTTGCTGCAGCTTTGGCCAGCTGAAACAGCTCAGCAAGGTGTCAGACAAGGGTCTGTGGTGGAGCGGGAATAGAACAGTCACATGTGAATAGCAGGGATTAGCTCAACCATTTTGTTAAACCTTGGCTGCAACACTGTTACTTTGGAATTAAAGATGGAGACTGACAGAAGGAAATGTTCTTTCTGTGATCACTTCTGCGCTTCTTTTGGCACTTTTCTCACAGGTGTACTGAAGTATTGCTGCTCACAGGGGAAGCTGTAATTTTTTTACTTTCATCCTGAACCACAGGAGCAAGCTGAGGCCTGGCCAAGGGCCCTGTCACTGAATTGGAAGGAAGAAATACTAATATTTACAAATCTGACTCAAATATCTGTATTGTTGGAGCATTCTGCAAGAGGTTGATGATGATGATTGGAATGTTCAGGAGTTGGATTCTGCTTTAGAATTTATAATATGATATACAGAGAAGACTTCATCCTGTGAGGACTAGAATAAGACACTGGGATTGGGACAGAGACTTTCTTTAAAGAGATCCTACCCAAAATAGCATGGAGATAGCACATGCTTCTGTTCTGGTTTAATATCAGCTGGCAACTAAGCCCCACACAGTCCTGTGGGATGGGGGAGAGAATTGAAAGGGTGAAAGCTAGGAAACTTGAGAGTTGAGATGAAGACAGTTTAGTAGGGAAAGCAGCAGCTACAAAAGCAAAGCAAAACAAAGTATTCATTCCCCACTTCCCATGGGCAGCTATCTCCACAAAAGCAGGGCTCCATTGTGTGTAATGGTGACTTGGGAAAACAAGCACCATTATTGAATTTCCCCTCCTTTCTCTCCAGCTTTTTTAATGCCATATGGTCTGGAATATCTCTGTGGTCAGTTGGGTCAGCTGTCCCTGCTGTGTCCACTCCCATCTCCCTGAGCACCCTCAGCCTCCTTGCTGGTCAGATGGGGAACAGAAATGTCCTTGGCTCTGTGCAAGCCCTGCTCAGCAACAGATATACAACATTCCTGAATTATCAACACTGTTCTCAGCACCAACCCCAAACACAGCCTTGATACCAGCTACTGTGAAGAAAACTTACTCTAGCCCAGCCAAAATCAGCATATCTTACAGCAAAAGCTGTGGCCCAAGACCAGCAGGTGTGCAAAAGGAGAGATTTGCCTGGGATTACTTGTTACTGTATTGTTCTCTGGAGTTTTCATTATATCAGTTTTGCTTATTCTGTCCAAACACTGTGAGTGCAGCTGATCCTGATTCATTATCAAAAGCTTAGAGCCTCTTCAAGAGAATGTGTTATTCCTCATCTTATCTGTCTGATGAGTGGGCACACTGCACTTGCTTGGGACTTCAACCAAAGCACAGGTAGGATTCTTCTAAAATTCCTGTGGAGTTAACATGCAGTTAGATTGGTGTAATCAGGCCCTAAAGTTGTCCTGGCTTGATCACCTGAGGACATTTCACCCTCATCTGTGGTGAAGGTCGTGCAGGGTCAGAAGATCCTGAGGTTTCTGGGGCTGTGCTTTGCCCACCACCTGTAGATGAAAGCCATGTCAAACAGGTTTTAGTGCATCACTGGAAACAAAATTGGAGGGAGCCAAATTTTTTCAAAAGGCAGCTGGTACGAGTGTACCAGAGGGTGTCAGAAGGATAAAAGCAGGACATTTGATTTATTAAAGGAGGATATGGACAGCAAAAATGTCAGGACAAAATGTTTTTCTCAGTTATGAGGGGATTTATTGTAAAGGCAAAATTTCTTTTTGAAGGTGCTTGAAAACACTGAGAAAGTGCAGAGTGCTGTGTGCAGCAACCAAAGAGCTTGAGTGCTATCTTGTTATTTTTTACTGCAACTGTAGCATGTGTTTTACTATATATAAGTGATTACACAAAGGTTTTCTTTAGATTCAGGTCGGTGGAGGGTGATACTGTGATTTGTTTAACCCTTGGTGGGCCAGTAACTGCAGCCACAACGTGCTGAGGCCACAGTTTGTGCCTCTGGTGTGGTGATGCAGTGGAAACTGAGCTGGAATTTGGTGCAGATGCTGCAGTTGTTAGTGTAAGGCTTGGGAGGCTTTCAGAATGTACCACTATGGATTCATTAAACCCACAACCATGTGAGAAATGCTCCTGTCTTGTCCAAAATATGTGCCTTGGAGCATCATCAGGCAGTGAGGTAGGCAAAGCATAAGAGTGAAAATTAGAATGAAAATAACTTCCAGAAGTGCCATTACATGGGGCAGAGACTGCACTTCTCTTGGGCTGGTGGGAGTGCAGTCACAGTTACCTCCTTCCTTCCAGCTTGCTGACTCCTGCTGTTGCCGTGCAGAGAAACAAGTGCTTGTACAAAGCTGATAACTTTGTGATTTCTGCCCTTTCCCATTTAGGAAGGCAGCAGTAGAGGGTGTGTGATTGAGTACCCCGAGTTCTAGGGAAGAGTAAAGCACATTTAGTCCGACCTGGGCTCTGGGGCCAGTTCGCAGTGAGAGCTGGAGGCAGGAAACTACGGGCAGGGCAGCTGGGAGAGAAGGGATTTAAAAAACGGGTGTGGGGGGGATGCAGGGAGGAGGGAGGCTATTTAGGGTTAGCTGTGAGCTCCATGTAGGGGTGTGACCAGGAGGAGTGAGGAAGCCAAACTAGTTAGCGGTGGGATGAGGGTGCGAGAACCAGCCCTGCTGGGAGCCGGGGGAGGAGGGCTGGGGGTGTGTGCCGCGGAGCTGGGGCGGGGGACGGCCCAGTGAGGCATTCAGGCGGATAGAGCTGGCCCTGAGGGCACAGGAGGGATCCGAGCGGGGTGTTGTGGCCGTCCCCAGAGCAGGAGCGCTGGGATCGGTGTGTCCGGGCGGGGCACCGGGGCTGGGCTTTGCGGAGAGGAGGGAAGCTCGGTGTGGGCCGGTTAAAGCTGCCCTGTGCAAGGGGCACGCACGGATACCCACGCCTGTGAGCGAGGGAAGGCACGAGTGAAGGCACCGCTGCTCTCCCGGGAGCGGTGCCGCCGTCCGGGGCTGTCCCGGTGCCCGCCCCGCTGTCCGGGGCTGTCCCGGTGCCCGCCCTGTGCCCGGGCCGGCCTGAGGCGCCGCGGGGCGGGGCGGGTGCGCGCGCAGCGGCAGCCGCCGCCTCCGCCGCCGCCTCCTCCTCCTCCTCCGCCGCCGCTCCATGGCGGCTCCTGCTCCGCGGCCGCCCGGCCTGTGCTGCTGTCGCAAGGGCTCCGCGGCCGGGCCGGAGGCGCCGCCGGCCCCGCCGCCGCCTCCCGAGCCGCCGCCGGACGTGGCGTCGGCGTCCAGCTCGCAGCTCTTCAGCCTGAGGCACCTGCACCTGGGGCTGGAGCTGCGGCCCGAGGCGCGGGCGCTGGCGGGCTGCCTGGTGCTGGAGCTCTGCGCGCTGCGCCCGCAGCCCCGCGCCCTGGTGCTGGACGTGCACCCGGCGCTGCGCGTCCTCTCGGCCGCTTTCCGCCGTGCCGCGGCCGGGGAAGCGCCCTGCGCCTTCGCCTTCTCGCCCGCCGAGGCTGCCGCCGCCCGCCGCCGCCGAGCCGCCGCCACCGCTGCCCCTCTTCGCCCAGCCGCCCTGCTCCGCCTGCCCGCTCGGCTTCAGGGTGGACCCCTTCACCGACTACGGCTCGTCCCTCACCGTCTCCCTGCCCGCCGCCCTCCAGCCGCACCAGCCCTTCCAGATCATCGTCCGCTACACGACGGCCGACGGCCCCGCCGTGAGTACCGGGCGGGGGTTGGTACCGTAGGAAACCGGGTCCCGGGGCGGCTGGCAGAGCCCTCCCGTGCCGCCCGCGCCTGTCGCGCATCTTTGCTCTTGTTCTAAGTGACCGTCGGGGCAGCGCCCCGGCTCCTCAGCAAAGGCGGCGGAAGGTGTCTCACTGCCAGCCTCTCCGGTCCTGTCCTGGCCCCATCGCCGGGCAGCGCCAGCCCGCTGGGCAGCAGCAGCATCTGTCCCCTGCCCGCAGGGGCTCTCGGCACTGCCAGCCCCGCGGTCCCCGCCGCACTCAGCAGCGGTGCCCGTACCGATCCAGCCTCTCTCCCTCCTGTCTTCCTCCATCGCGTGGACCCCAAGGCTATTCATCCCCCCTCACTATAATAATTTGAAAGTTTTTAGTTCTTTTAAGGACATTGCAGTTGTTGGCAAGGAGAGTGAAAATTTGCAAACTCCTGCCTCGACTCAGTCCTTCAGGATAAATTATGTCATGCACAATGTAGGAGTTTCCCTGGGGGTTTTGCCAACTGCTAACAAAATCAGGCCTTGCACAGCTAGGCTGGTGTTCCAATGGTGTTCCGTGGTCAGGAGCTTTGAGAACAGGGGTGATTCCACAGGTTCCTACAAGTTATCTGCTGAAAAAAGGGATGAGAAATGGCCCAAAACACCCCTTTGGATGTAGCCATGGAGGTGCTTCCATGTCTGTGGACTAGCTTTCTTCAGCAGTGAAATGCTTTGTAAATGCTATAGTTTCTTTTAAACTCCTGGTATTTAGAAGCACTTTATTCCCAGACTTTTAGGTGCTGCTTATCAGGTCTTGTGTTTTTAAGAAGTTATGACAGTGAAAAGATGAAGTTCTCACTGAAACATCAGTTCTTTTTATTACTGCACAGTCTGTTCAGGTTGGAAATTAAACTGATTTTAATTATGTGGTTCATGAATCTATTTACAAAAGATGTGTATTTTTTATAAGCATCTTGCAACTTTGTTGCATCTATGTTGCCTAGAGGAATTGTCTCTCAGTCCTCTGATTTGGTGTTGCTATTGCACTGGTCAAAACCAGTAAATGTGTGGATCTGTTGGACTTTTACAATGTATTTAACAAGAGCAGGAATTGAAAAACAAAAGCTTCTTGCAAAACAACCCACAGGAAGTAAATAGTAGGCCTTTCCTCTTGATAGGAGAGTCTTTCTGATTAGAATGTGTTTGCTGGGTGTTTCTCTATCCAATTTTAATACTACATAGAAGATCACAAAAGTAATTTCATCCTCTGAATGATCTTGATAGTCTTAATACATTGGCTCACTTGGAATAGTGAGTTTCACATGAAGCCTTTTATTGACAGAAGTTTCCTGTGGTCGTATGGTGACTTATTAATGTTCTAATCTTTCCCTAAAAGTGCAAAAATGAAGGAAGATCCTGTCACTTTTAAAGTTCAGATCCACTTGGATATTGTTCCTTTTCACCTCTGGAATTCC